AAACTGCTGTTAAGCTTCTCGATTTCCTCAACAGCTACAAAACATCGAAAGGATTTCTTTTCAGCTGGTTTTTCAGAACATGGGAGTTTTTCTCCACTTGTTCTTCACCTCTGTGGTTCTCTCACGTGGACAAGTTCTATCATGCCCAGACGGTAGGTTTCAAATCTTGCATTTTGTGGATAAGGAACTTTTATTTTTTTCCTTTAAAATTCTCAGCTATACAATTTGCTAAGTTAAAAAAGGTAAGGCGAATTCTCAAGAACTGAAATACTTAAATTCTCATATATAAGTGTAGAACCTAAACTAAGAAAATAACTACAAAATTCATGATCCAATTCAATGCATTGTCATCTTTTTATTTATTCAAAATATTCTCGATTTCTTTTCACTACATGCGAACGTATGTTTGCAAAGTATTTTTAGTTATGACCAAACAATCTTCAGAATTTCTTAACTACTCATATTTTTCCCTGCTTATAGTTTTGAATTCTTTTGAAACACTCATATAAAAATAAACTTAAGTTTTATCGAGGTCATCTAAATATAATGACAAGACTTTCGCAAGAAAGATCCTACAGTTATGAAAAGTCTTGTACTTAAGGAAAGACAAATTGATGCATTAACTAGTTGGAAATGAAATGTTTTCCATTTCCTTATTTTTTAGATTCTCTTGTGGAATACGAATCTTTCTTTTGGTACATAATTATTCGCTTGTGTCATAAAGATTTTAGAATTGTTGACATGCAGGGAAAGCAGTTATGTTTTCAATAATGCAAATGGGTACTGAGCGCGAAAAAGCGGGGACATTAAAACTTCTCACTCGTCAGGTGGCTAATTGATATAAATGATGGAGAAACAAAACAGAACAAAAAGAAAATAAAAATCGCAATGTAAAATTAAGCATAGTTTGTTCTTAGCGTGTGCTCATCGTGAAACTGATGCTTGAGGGCAGTTTGCAGAGCACAAAAGAAGTGAGTTGCCCGAGGTGAAGCCAAGAGCACTTTTAGCTTCTCGAGCGCTCTCTAAACTTCCCGTGTGAATCCATAACACGATATACACTCACTAAGAGCTCGAACCAATTATCTTATGACATAACGGATATAACTTGTGCACGAAGATAAATTTCTACCGCAGTTGAGTCTTGCTTACCCGGTAATCGCTTACTACCAGAAAACTATCAATAAGAGGCAAGGCGAAAACGACAAATAAATATTTAGCTTAATTCAAAGAAGTGCCAAATTTGCTGCTTACAAGCGGAGAACGAAAGAACTCCCTGCATTTTCGAGACTCGCTTAATCGATTCAGCATGCTGGAATCGCATACTAGAACATGTCATAATTATCGATGTACGTACCACGTGCATCGAACAGTGAGATTAAAAATATTTAAGACCCTCAGAATTGATGACCCATTTGGTTTTTTAACTCGGACTGATTTGAATTTTTAGATCAATGCCGTATATTGGCATTTCCATCCACTTTGTTCTTCGTGGGAGAACGTCTTGTTAACCACACCATAGCAAACATCAGTGTGATTGACAGGGACTCGTGTGAATATCGTTGCTACTTGGAACACAACTGCGTCAGTGTTAACTTTTATTTTGGAGAAAACGGAGTAGAAGCACACAACTGTGAACTGAATAACTCAACGGGTAAAGAGTATGATAAGGATCTGGTGAAAGAAGCGTACTACGTATACCACGGAACTAAGGTACCAGTTGTTAAATTTCAATTGCACTACTTTCTCCTTCAGCAATTCATGAGAGCTAAAGGGGCACTCTTTATATTCATGTCTGAAAAACGCCTTTTATCCATTATTTGTTATTTTTACATAATTTTAGACACGTCACGGATCTTTTGTAGATAAGCACTTACCAAAAATAAAAGCCCCTTGAGTGCCTTGAGAACATCCAAGTAGCAAAAGCAAGTAGTTTTCTTAGTCATTTCAGAACGTTGTTCACCGGTCTTGCGTAAACAATTGATCGCTGTTTTTCATCTAATAAAGAAAGCACAACTAAAAAACACTTAATTCATCTCAAATATTTTTCGTGGGCAAGAATAGATGGAATAGTTATTCGAAGGCATTTCTGCAAAATGTAGTTAATTTTAATTGGTTTTTTAGGCCTGAGTATACCAGGTTTAATAATCGAAAAAACTAGATACATACCATGGTTCAAGAGTAGTTCCGACTATGGATATAACAATACAGTTGAGCTGTGACAGGGATTATCAAGTACTGCTCTTGGTAAAGATGATTTGCGCTATAACAGCCTGTCTACAGACACCCCTTTCCGATTTTCGAAGTGCTGGGAGTGATATCACACAGGCTTTTGAAATTTCTCTCTCCACCGAGTTGTTCTCAGGTTCTCGGCGAAATTTCGAAGAGGGCTGTCAAGATATTAAACAGTTACTTGTGACATCGCATCCAAGGGAATCACAATTCTTCTTGTCGCCTTATGCTAAAAATGTGGTATATTTAGCTCTCGAAGTTATGCGATGCGTTTAATGCAGACGAGTTTTTTACTATTATTTCTTTTGTTTGTTTGTTTTCGTGGAAGAATTTTTGCGCTCGAGCTCCATGCGAGAACTACGGTACCTGCCAGTCGGGATTTACAAGAAAACGATATCGATGTTTATGTGCGTCCGGATACACCGGCCACGATTGTGAAAAAGGTAACACTTAAAATGATAGAAATCAATTCTGTATTTAATTTTAACATAATGGTCGATTTCTTCAGAGGGTTCGATATTTAGAATCGGTTGTACTTATGACACTGTGGGAGGAAAAAAGGATGGGGGCGCACATTCAGTTTTCACGCTCTTTTTCTCAACTCGGGGTATTGTGTCTTGTTTAGGATGAACAGGAAAGAACTTGAACCACCTTCAAGGTGGTTGTTGCATTCATTTTCTATTTCAAAGACCATCCTGCTTCTTTCAAGTTGCAGTTTCACTCTGGCCTATGATAGACATTCAGCGCCGGGAAAAATGGGGCGAAGAATTTTCCTCTCCTTTCCACAGCTCCTTACTCGAAACTGCTGCCAAATTGCATAACACATCATATAATTTCAACTATCGATGAGAATGTTCTAAATTTTCGCAAGTGTAGCGAGTATGCCAGTTTCACCAATACCGAGGGATCCTACAACTGCTCCTGCAATCCTGGATTCAGCAGGGATGGTATTAAGGATAAGAGCTGTTGGATAAATATCTAGAAAAATTTCTAGAATGCCTCGTCATGCTTGCAATGCATGCCATAGAACTTTCTATAACATTCTATTACGTCAGGTAGTCATGATGTAATACTACCAAATAGTCGTGTTGTAAGATTCCGGGATGTTCTAGAACGCTTTGTAAATGTTTATAAGGATTCATTCGTGTCGTAGTAGTAGTTGCTGATGTCGAGAGTTACCAAGTTATTGTGGAAGATTGT